AAACGTACTTAGCAGGAAACTTCCTGATATTTATCCCTTCATTTGCTAACATTCCTTAGATTACTAAGTCCCCATGGAATTGCAAACTTACAGGTACTTATTTAGTAACGAAAATACACATCTAGCCTCACAAGTAACAGACTCTGAGCTACATATGAGCACCATGTAACACCTTTGCTATTAAGAAATCATTAGGAAGATGTTCTTTTTAATCTATATTTTGCATTGACAAGCAATTCAGGATATTCTCAGGGAACAATGGTTGAACAATTATTCACACGGGAATTTTCTTTGTTAAATATTTGAATTCACATGTAGAAAATATTTTCCAGTTTTCTCTCTCATCTCCTTTCTCCTCCCATCTCCCTATAATCCTTACCTCTGGCAGTCTACTTTCAAGAATGAGGCGTCTCTGTAACAATGTTCTTGTCCATGTCTACGTCCAAGTTCATTTATCGTATGGATATAGACATATATATTTATCCTTCATCGAATAAGAATAGAAGGTGTTCCCAGAATACCTGCTTTCATCATTTGGATTATAATAGTGATATTTTCTTCATCGGATAGTTTGTGCACAAATGTAAATGTTTTATTTGAAAATAATTAATATTGTTCTTCAATTAGAAAAGCATAATGGAAAAAACTAAGTCTATTTTTTATCTGCTTTTAAAACTTTACCTGTGTTTTTCCCCTCCTTTTCTACCAGCCATCTTTTCTATCTTCATAGTAAGTCTTCACTTAAAAAAAATATAGCACTGGCCAGGCGCAGTGGCTCACGCCTGTAATCCCAGCACTTTGGGAGACCAAGGCAGGTGGATCACTTGAGGAGTTTGAGACCAGCCTAGCCAACATGGTGAAACTCCATCTTCATTAAAAATATGTGAAATTAGCCAGGTGTGGTGGTGGGCACCTGTAATCCCAGGTACTTGGGAAGCAGAGACAAGAGAATGGCTTGAACCCAGGAAGCAGAAGTTAAAGTGAACGGAGATTGCACCACTGCATGGCAGCCTGGTTGACAGAGCAAGACTCTGTCTCAAAATAAATAAATAAATAAATAAAATAAAGCATTTAGATTTCTATGTAATGAATCAATTTAAGAGCTTTATATTCCCTATGCTCTGATTATTCTTTAAGGTAGAATGGCTTTGACAATTAGCTTTTTTACCCCATGCGATTGTACTATTGCTGTTAAGGCCCTTACATGGTGGAGCAGGTAGTAGAGTCTAGCGGTATCTGTTTCTCCCATAATATTTCCATGTAGCCAACTTTGCTAATTGTATGAAACAAATTTACATGGTTAGGCTATTTCTCATGAATGCTCAGCATACTTGTCCTTCACTGCCCTCTTATACTGATAGTGTCTTACTCTAAAGATTCTAAAATATCCCCAAACAACCTGCTTAATAACTACAAGGACGTTGTTGAAACTTACAGGCAACTTCTAGGTTTACACCAGCAGCTGAATATATTTATTGCATGTCTAGGTTAAGGAAGCATTTATAAATTCAGAATCTTTAATGAGTTTCCTAACTTAGGCAGGAGAAGAAGAGGCAATCAAAATCTATTTTCCCTGTGAAAAGTAGGAGATAGTTGAAAAGTATTAGAAGTTACACAGCTGGTCACTGTTTATGAAAACAGTCAGGCTCTTATCCATAAGACAGGAAAGAGAGTCAAAAGCCAAAGTCTCCTTTTAAGATACAGCTGGAAGGTTTTCAGAGTTCAGGGAAAATTTTAAACCTAGGGTAGATATGCCCTTTTTTCCCTCTTATAGTAAAAAGAAGAGTAGAAAAAAAAATCTCAGGGGTAAAAACACCTTTATCAATTCAATAATTGATATTCTACTAAACACCTGTATTACTTTTGGGAAAAAAATTGCAAACTCTTACCACAAATAAGACAGGTGAGTGATGCAGACACTTTGTAAAAATAAGAGGAAACTGAATTAAATGTAAAGTGGATAAAAAAGTGTAAAACAAGAAATGTAGGTAAGGATTACTTTTAATTTCCCTTATGGTCTCCTTAATGACTGAAAAGAAATTAGAAACTTTAGCAAGACGTACTTTATTCAAAGGATAATTAACAGCTTTCTAGATCAACTGTTATCTAGTAGATTCATTGAGTTGTATGGCCAAAGGGACTTACTCAGAAAAGGAACTCTGGATGGAAAAATTAGGAGGAGGTAGATTGAATGATTTATTTCTAGATTATTTTATTGGTAAGTCTAACCGTAATCCTTTGTCCACCGTCAGAGAAAGATTAACCTATGTAAAACATGAGTCAAAATCAGATTTAGAGGCCATTTTGAATGAGTAAGAAAAAAAAAATAAGGAATTAAATACAACTTCATTCTGCAAATAAACTTCACTCCACTAGGCAGTTGTGTTCTGGGAAGTATCAAATTACTCTATTGTAACAGGTGACACGAGACTTGCAAAAATATACCTGGTTCCCCAACAGATAAATATGAGTTTGTGCAGAGTATCTCCATCCATAATAACTGCAAGTGCTCCATTTGATGTTTTTATTTATTTATTTTTAGATTGCTACTATGTCCTGATAAAACAATTTATTATTATTTTGGGCAAAGGAATTTACATTATGCATGGAAACATAAATATATGTAAGTTTTACAAAGAAAATACTATGAATTTAGTGTGTTTGAATTCAAAAGAAAAGATATCAAATTAAAATGCAGCATGAGTTAAACCATGGTTTTAAAAACTTGCACACACGTCTAGGTTTTCAAATAAATCAGATTAAATTAGCTGTTATTTTATTCTCTTCTTAAGCTGCTTTTGAAATATGTGGCAGGATTTGTCATTTGACTTAAAAAATGAGTGTAGTTGCTTATTTCCTTTTCAGCATTTTTTTCCTTACTGTAAAAACAAAGTTTTAGCAGTCCATGTCTGCTCTCATTTCATCAAGAACTAGTGAAAATTAAATTTAAAAGACACTTTGAGAGCTTGCCCTAAAGTTAGCAGCAATAAAATATATGCTAGTCTGCATATAGTTTTAGTTTTCATTCCCTTCAAACTGTTTTCAAAGCTTCTCAAAGCTTTCACTGATATTTTCTTTGCATTGTTTGATTGTTATGGCTATACAGTCTACCTGAGGAGAATTGTGATATTGGTTTGGGACAGAACTCTCCTTTTTTTGGAAAGTGCAGATAAACAGTATGGCCTCTGCATTCTCTGCTGTTGATGAAACCTTGCATCTCGCACTTTCTTTTCTTCCTACCATTATCAACAGTCCTTCTGCAAAAAAGAGGTAGAGTTTCCTTATCTTTCCAATCTAATGCTTCTAAATAATGTCAATCGTGGTTTACCCATGATGTGAACCAGTCTAATTTTCTTTATAGATGTCAAATGTAAAGTTCATATGATTTATTGGTAACTTATGTGCTATTCCTTTCACAAATATTGCACAGCCTTTGCCAGAGGATGCTTCCTAGTCATAAACCTCAAATGGTGCAAAAGTGAAAACTGACTCTAAAAGCTCTTAAAACAGTACATGGATGAAATATACTAGATAATCTTTTTTGGTATGAGAGGAGTCAAGTGTAAATAAAGCAAAGCCTCCCTTCACTTATATACATGCATGCATGTGTGCATGCACTTATAAGTTTGTATATGGAACTTTTGTTGCAACCTAAGTCTCTGCAAATCAATTTTCTTATATCTTGTCAATAATGCCATGAACCAACTAATTGAAATCTCGTACTTTTGGAGTTGGGAACTTGCTTTTGGCTGAGTGGGTAGACATAAAGGAGTTACAGAATGCCTGAAAAGTCCATATGAAAGAAAAATCATAGGCAGATACAAACGCATATAACCTCAACTTAGGAAATAGTTGTAAAAAGAAGATAATAGCAGAAAAAACAAAAATTTTCTGTATAGTATTAAGAAATTTTTACCAGTAGCAAACTGCTTATCATGTGTATATATAGAGTGGCTGATTGAAAGTACAATCCTGAGGACCTAAAGTGCTTTCCATAAAACACAATTATTGTAAGCTATAGGTAACTGGTATAATCTAGAAAAGGCACATATCTCATCTTCCAACTTGAGATGACGTCAAGAAAAAGTTACCTACTGGTAGTTGAAACTTAATGTCTAATACTTAAAAGCAAAAGCTTTGGGGAAAAAATTCTAAGCCATATTAGAAATCTCCTAAGAGGGTAGTCAATAAAACTAAAGATTTAAAATTTTCGTTTGAGTAAAAGCAAAACAAAAAACCTCACATATAATCCTTAGTTCTTATAAAATATGAAATGTTTATTTTTCTCTGTATTATATAATATTTACTATAACAAGCATTTGTTGAGTTAAAATTAACATGCATTGAACCTTAGTTTCTTAACACCTTGTGCACTTTCAGATATAGGATTTTTGTTTGTTTGTTTTTTGAGCCAGTTCAGCAGAAGGCTGGCAGTATTGCCAGGGTAGCTGTGCTGTGCTGAGAGGCCAAGTACATGTCGTAGAGAGTAAAAGAAACAATGGCTTGTAAGGTGGTCACATGCTTGATTCCAGCCTTTTTGTTAGTAAATAGGGCACCACCATGTCTCATATCAGAGAGGTCCATGATCCTTACTTCTGTTTTTCCCTTGGATCACATCTCACTGAGCCACCCTCAATGTTAAGTGGGCTGATACCCCTATAATCTAACTGTGTTCTGAGCTACTAATTGTCAAAAGCCAGTGGAATATCACTAACATTCCCCAGAATTCAATTCTACTGCAAAGACATAATATAGGCTATTTCTACCATGTAACATGGACTTTCAGTGAAAATATTTGCTAAAATGAACATAAAGCAGATTCCTTACCTCATATATTTTGTGTAGGTGAGTTTTGAGCAGTATTTTAAAGAGAAAATACACACACACGATATAACCATCCATTTTTCCATCAGTAGATAGGTTGTTTCCATATCTTGATTATAGTGAATAATGCTGCCATGAACTTTCGATAATTGCCTTTTAATTTTTTTTCTTTTGCCATAGGTTATTAAGGGCAGTGATATAGAACATCCATAACTGCCTCAAACAAAAAACAGTTAATGAAATATGTTTCATCTTAATGCTACTTCACGATAGGTAGGGAATGAATTTATCACCCTATATTAGTATAATACTAGCAAATCAGTTTTAAAGAGCACTGATTTGTATAAAGACTTTCAAAGGATTAAAACTTTAAAATAAACACATCAATCCACAAAGTCGATGACTTGATGTATTTAGAATGATGTTAAAAGTTCTTAATTGTAATTCTTTCCTTTGTTCTTAGAAATACATGTTATTAATTTGTATGTGCTTTACTTAGCTCTTTAAATGAAAAGTGTTGCTTCTGAATTTGTGGACAAATCTGCTTTTGCTTTACCTAAAAGAATACCACACTGGTAAAAAAGAGTTCTTTCTTTTAAAGTAGTGTAACATGGTGTTTTAATGTACATACACATTGTTCAGTAATTCCCACAGTCAAGCTAATGAACATGCCTATCTACTTAAGATATGCTCTCTTAGCTTCTCTGAATTTCAAGCATATAGTATATTTTAAAAATCTATTGTCACCACGCTGAACATTAGGTCTCCAAAATTCAGTCATCCTGCCTAATCGAAATTTTTATCCTTTGACCAAAGTCTTCCCATTTCCTCAACCTCCAACCTCTGGTAATTATCATTCTCTTCTCTCTGTCTCAGTTCAACTTCCTTAGAGTCTACCCATAAGTGAGATTATGTAGCATCTGTCTTTCTGTGTCTGGCTTATTTCACTAAGTATAATGTCTTTCAGTTTCACTCATACTGTCCAAAATGAGAGGACCTTCTTTTCTTTTTAAGACTTATTAATATTCCATTGTATACACACACACAAACACACCCATGATATATCCACCCATTTATCCATCAATAGATAGGTTGTTTCCATATCTTGGTTATAGTGAATAATGCTGCCATGAACTTTTGATAATAGCCTTTTAAATTTTTTTTTTTTTTTTGCCGTGGGTTATTGGGGTACAGGTGGTATTTGGTTACATGAGTAAGTTCTTTAGTAGTGCTTTGTGAGATTTTGCTGCACCCATCACTCGAGAAGTATATGCTGCACCCTATTTGTAGTCTTTTATTCCTTGCCCACTCCCACCCTTCCTCCCAAGTCCCCAAAGTCTGCTGTATCATTCTTATGCCTTTGTGTCCTCATAGCTAAGCTCCCACATGTCAGTGAGAATATACAGTGTTGGGTTTTCCATTTCTGAGTTACTTCACTTAGAATAGTAGTCTCCAATCTCATTCAGGTTGCTGCAAATGCCATCAATTTGTTCCTTTTTATGGCTAATATTCCATCTCATACACACACACACATACACACACACACACACACACACCACACTTTATCCACTCGATTGATGGGCAATTGTGCGATTGTGTGAAGTAAATATAAAGTGATAACTTTTACCTAAAAAAATGGGCAAAGAACCTTAATAGGTAGTTTTCCAAGGAGAACATGCATACAAATGGCCAATAGGTATATAAAAAGGTACTCAGCATCATTTATCATCAGAGAAATGCAAATCAAAACCACCATGAGATATCACTTCACATCAATTAAGATAACTTTTTCCCAATGACTATTATCTTTGGATAAAAGGCTGTTATCTTTGGATAAAAGAACATGTCTAATTTCCACATACTTGTTAATTTTCCATTATTTCTCCTGTCACTGATTTCTATTTTTATGCTATCATAGTTGGAAAAAATATGTACTTTTAGTCTACTTAAATTTATTAAGACTTGTTTTATGGCCTAATACAGAATCCATTGTAGATGATATTCTGTTTTATGCTTGAGAAGAATGTATTCTGCTGTTGTGGAATGGAATGTTCTGTATATATTTTTTGAGACAGTTCAGGTCCAATGTCTCCTTATTGATTTTCTGTCTGGATAATCTATCCATTGATCACAGTAATCTATCCATTGAAGCCTCTTACTGTTGCTATATTGCTGTTTATCTCTCCATTTTCATCTGTTAGTATTAACTTTACATATTTGGGTGCTCTGCTATTAGTTGCATAAATATATATAATTTTTATATCTGTGATAAATTGACCCCTTTGTCATTATATAATTACCTTCTTTTTCTTTTTTTACAGTGTTGACTCACACTCTCCTTTGTCCTATATAATTATAGCTGCCCCTGCTTTCTTTTGGTTTCCACATGCATGGAACATCATTTTTCAGCCTTCAGTCCATGTGTATCCTTAAAGCCGAAGTAAGTCTGATATAGTTGGGTCTTATATATTTTTTCTTTAATCTATTAAGCCACTCTATGTTTTATTAACTGGATAATTTCATTCATTTACATTTAAGGTAATTATTTTTAGATAAATACTTACTATTGTCATTTTGTTAATTATTTTCTTGTTGTTTTGTCTTTGTTCCTTTCTCCTCTTATTTTCTGCTTTTGTGATTTGATAATTTTCTTTAACGGTATGGTTTGATTTCTTTATCTTTGGTTTATCTGCTGTAGCTTTTTGCTTGTGATTACTGTGAGGCTTACATATAATATCTTATAATTTTAACAATCTATCTTAAGCTAATATCTTAATTTTGATTATATATAAAAACTCTGTGTACTTACTCTCTTTCACCTTTTTTATGTTTCCAGTGACACAATTTACATAGTTTTATATTGTGTATTATTATTGTAGCCATAGTTGTTCTAATACTTTTGTCTTTTAACCTTTATACTAGAGCTATAAGTGATATACATACCACCAGTACAGTATTACATATTCTGAATTTGACTCTTTAGGTACTTTTACCAATAAGTTTTATACTTTCATATTACTTTATTTTACTAAGAAGCATCCATCTTTTCAGCTTGAAGTAATCCCCTCAGCATTTCTTGTAAGGCAAATCTAGTAATAATGAACCCTGTCAGCTTTTCTTGTCTGAGAAAGTTTTGCTTTCTCCATTACTGAACAGCTATACCAGGCAAAGTATTTTTGGTTGGCAGTTTTTTCTTTCAGTACTTCAAAAATATTATAACACCTCCTGGCCTGCAAAGTTTCTGCTGAGAAATCTGGTAGCCAGTATGGTGTTTCCATTTTTTGTGACAAACCAATTTTCTCTTACACATTTAAGATTTTCTTTGTCATTGATTTTTGCTAGTTTGGTTATCAAATGTCTCGGTGAAGTCTTCTTTTGGCTGGACCTGATTGAAGAGCTTTGATCTTCACGTATCTAGATGGTTGTATCTTTCAGTAGATTTAGGGAGTTTTCAGCTGTTATTTCTTTAAATAAACTTTTACCCTTTATCTTTTCTTCTGAAATTCCTGCAGTGTAAAAGTTAGCTCTCCTTATTGTGTCCCATGTATCCCACAGGCATTTTACATCCCTTTTTCACTGTTCATTTTCTCTCTTCTGACTACATATTTTCAAATGTCTCTCTTCGGTTTACAGATTCTTTCTTTCATTTGATCAAGTCTACTGTTGACACTCTCCATTGCCTTTTTCATTTTATTCATTTGTATTCTTCAGTTTCAGTGTTTCTGTTTGCTGTTTTATCCCCATCTCTACATTGAATTTTTCATTTTGTTCATTTTTTTTTATGTTTTTAATGTGTATAACAGTGTTTCCTTGTAACTTAATAAGCTACTTTAGAACAATTATTTTGAATTCTTTGTCAGGCATTCAAACTGACAAATTAGTTTTGCTTTACCTAAAAAACATCACAGAGTACAACAAATGATATATTCATTGTATTAGAATAGGCATAGGTTTCCAACTACTTTTTATTTCATTATATTTGTGAGTCTGACTTCTAATATTTACATATTTATTTTTCTTCCCTCTTATATCTTGTTGCTGACATTATTTGACCTGTGTTTCAGACATTAATTATATAAAAATATATGAATTTGGTTTTATACTCTTACGTAAGAACAATACTTCTGTTTAACTTCAGCTGAAAAACTTTGAATAGCACTCGGTAACCAACAGAGAGCAAGATTAATTTCAATATGACACTGCAGAGAGTTCTACCCTGTTGTAGGAAGTGTTGTTTTTGGAACAATGTTGGATGCCCTTTACTATTATACTGTCTCCTGACAGAAATTAATAAAGGTCTTCCAAAGTAATTTATCAACTACTTTTTAAATTCACACTCTTACAAGCTGTATATCCTCAGTTGAGGGAATATTTTGTTTATGATTTTGCATCAAACTGTTAATGAAAGGCAAATTCTGACCAGAGTAAGCTCTCAGGAGTAACTGATCTTGGTGACTTTGACTTTGGTTAGACTCACTGAAGGCTGGTCCTGAAAGAAGCTAAAGGGACCAGCAGCAGGGCTCTGAGTGATCCCACAATTTATGTAAACACAGATGTAGCAGGCAGAGGTGTGCAGCCCAGCAAAGAGCCTGGGCCAAAGTCAGAGCAATTAGCACATTTTGAAGTAAAGTGCCCATGCAGGACTCAGAAAGTGACCAAGCAGGTGTGTGTGTGTGTGTGTGTGTGTGTGTGTGTGTGTGTTTATTTCAAAAAAGCATCAAGGTAGGCTTAAAATTTTATAACGTATCATAATAATGGGATGGATTATGTACTATTTATATCTCATAAAAATATACAGTTATAACTTTATATAGATCTTTATTGTGTATTTTTAACATAAAGGCAAAATGTCCATTTAAAAATGTACTTTCAGCTACTATTAAACATAGATTGAATATTATTAATGTAAATCCTACCAAAAACATGTATTAAAAGAATATTTAAAATGTACTACACACTAAAGCAAATCATTAATAATACAGGAAATTATAAGTGGGGAGGGTTGGATGATAATGTATGGAAACTGTATGTTCTACCAAGTTTTTCTGGGAATGTAAAATTCCTCAGCAAACTCCAAAGTATATTAATTTTAAAAATATTTTTAAAAACAAAGTAAATTTAAAGCCGTAATTCATGATGGGATAAAATAACTCCCCCCACTGTCTACTTTCAAAAAGAAGATTAAAAGTGCTTTGTATGTATTCATAATGAGAACAAATGGATATAACTGATAGAGATGCTTCCCTAAAAATAAATGAGCTGAAGTGTACATACTATCTTTTGTTACAAATTAAGAATTTATTCTTCCAGAGTTTCTGTGTAGAAAAGGGCAAACAAAATTAATATGTGTGTATTGATGTGTATATATCTCTTCTCTATGTGGAGATGGCAGAGGGGAATTTCATAGCAGTATTTTCTAGTGATAGATAAATAAGATCCCTTTCCTTAAAAAGCTTTGGAAATGATAAAGATATTTAAATGTGACTTAAAACTTCTTCAACTTACTAATGTAAATAAGTATTAATACATACAAAATCAGGCTTTATTTTATGTTGTGTGGGTATGGATATGTGTGTTTTCCAAAGTCCAGTGCTAGAGAAAGAGAAAGAGAGAAAACAAAAGTGTGATATCCAAGTGAGAACTATTAAAGAGTATTTTCCAGTAGTAAGCTTTATTTCCAGTCATTTATCATGTGCCACATCCTTCCTTGGAATATGACTTCTGATTCTGCTTTGTCTGAGAAACAACAGCAAGTTGAGGAGAAAGAGCTGATGTTTAAACAAAAAGAAGTTGAAACCTTGACAAAGAAAAATGTTCTTTCTAATTCTGTCAGTAGATTCACAGGATCAGAATTTATGGAGGCCTGAAGTTCCTGGCTCTCCCTGACATAACTTGCATTATTTGATCTAACCACAGTACCCCAAAGCTGAAAAAAATCCGTCAGGTAGAATTCACATGTATTTTTTCCTTCAATGAAATTCATTGTAGAGTAGCATATGTTTAAGGGAATGTGTGAGTTTTATTGCAGGTCAGAAAGGCTACAGTACTAATCCGTGATTCACAAAGAAAACAGAGCATGGAAAGACCAGTGCAAGACTGCTGGGTTGGAGGTTGGAAGGTTCCAATATGTAAACCATATTCCAGTCTGATATGTGTGTAACAATAGGGTAATAAAAATGAAAACACTCCATGTGGCTAAAAGACAGTCTTCATTTTAGAACCCTTAGTGTTTTATTTAGAGGTTGTTTGTCAGATTCAAGCAAGGCCAGAATGATTTTAAGTAATGGTGCTTTGTGAAGTACATAAACCATTTGTGAACTCAAGGGGAATGTTAAATAAATTTCACTTGCCAAGAAGTTAATCAGTCCACCATAGATCCTTATGCAATGCAATTTATTGAACACCTGCCATATTAGAAGAGCTATAACCAGCCAGGTGGTAAACCAAAATGGCAACACTGCCCTCAAGGTGCTTATAATCAGAAAAAAGTAGAAAGAATGGCAACTAAAATTTACAAAGGCCCCCCATTTTACAATATTTTGCATGCATTTACAAAAGATGCTTGAAGCATAATAACTTACATGTAACACAGTCACCATCAATCAAAAAACATGTATTTATATACATGATCAGTCATAGGCATTCGTGTGTGCACATGAGTGAGAGTGTGTGAACATGGAGAAGCGGGGCACTTGCCTTTAGCTGGACTAGCTTTAGAAAGGAGTGGAACTTGAAACACATTTCTGAAGGATTGGTAGGAAGCAAGGAAGAAGGTTTGTAATTAGGAGACAGAATTCTGAATGATGTGTTTGGAAAATAAGTACTATGTCAAATTGTAGTAATCAAGTAATGGAGTAATTAACTGTTACCTTTCCAATTCAAAGTATCAATTTATTTTTAAAATAATTGGGAATAGTTAGAAGGATTTGAGCAGAGAAGTGATTGCAAATAAAAATTTTCTTGAAGAAGTCTCTTCTGTCTTCTATTTGTAGGACAAATGATTAAAAAGAAGCAGGCCAGTCTCACAGCTTGAAGGTATGAGGAGGACTGATCTTTCTAACCACATTGTACAGTTCTGGACATGTCCCAAGAGGTAGGCTCAGTTTTTCTTAAAATCAACTTTATTAAGGTATAATTTGTATGTAATAAAGTGTTTCTGTTTTAGATACACAGTTTATTTTTTTTAGCATTATTGAGGTATAATTATCAAAATAATATATATTTCATGTGTACAGTGCTATAACTGGTTATAAGTATACACTGCGAAATGATTACCATCAAGTTAATTAGAACATCCATCACCTCACAGTTACCATTTTTTGAGAACACTTAAGATCTACTCTTAGAACATTTCAAATATGTAATAAAGCTTTAGTTATTCAAGGCCTCTCTGCCTGTTACTTCATTAAGAAAAATAGTACTACAACTAATGATTATTATAAAAATTATAAAATAATAGAAATAAATATGGCATATAGTACTCAAATGACTAAGCTTAATATGAATCTAAAATATAAATAAAATTAGTTATTATAGTATATTAATACATAGCCTCAAAAATAAAATAGTTTAAAAATAAATATTTAGTTTTACAATAAGAATATTCTGAGAAAATTAACAAAATCTTAATCAGCGAAAACCATGTATTTATGTTATCATCCCACATTCAGAAAAAAAACTTTTTTTATATGATTCAGTTTATGCCCTATTAGAATAAATCTATAGTTCATCCGAGGGATTTTTAAAAGTGTGTTTTCCTAAAGTCATTTTATTGCTGAGAAAATCCACAAGGCTGTGAACAAAATCATTTTGTATAAAGTGTTCAGTGTTTCTCTTCAACCAGGTAAATGGACATATTAATGCAATCTCAGTCTTCTAGTCTGATTTATCTAATGTAGAACATTGTTTTAACTAATTTTAATCTGATGGGTCTTTGGGCTTAAGGATCTGGGTTATTTTACATATATATTTATGGTTGTGATATATAAATAAACAAGGACAGTTATTTGTATGGCCATTCCATTGTAGTACCAACTTCCATGCCAGGCAGTTTCTTCTTTAAAATTTAGCTTCCTGGCTGGGAGCAGTGGCTCACACCTGAAATCCCAGCACTGTGGGAGGCTGAGGTGGGCGGATCACAAGGTCAGGAGATCAAGACTATCCTGGCCAACATGGTAAAACTCTGTCTCTACTAAAAATACAAAAATTAGCTGGGCGTGGTAGTGAGCACCTGTAGACCCAGCTACTTGGGAGGCTGAGGCAGGAGAATCACTTGAACTAAGGAGTTGGAGGTTGCAGTGAGCCAAGATCATGCCACTACATTCCAGCCTGGTGAAAGAGTGAGACTCCATCCCCCCAAAAAAATTTAGTTTCCCTTCTTATCTGTTCTGGATCTTTGGCAGAGTTAACCTACCTTCAAGAGTTGCTATATTTAATGAGGTTAAGAAAGGAGACTACGCAGAGCAAATACTTACCAAATAACTTACCCCTTCCTTTTCTTTTCCTTCTTGATTTGTAGTTACATCAGTCCAAGCATGAGTAGACTCAAATCCAAAATAACTAACGATGATAAAAACATTTGCTTGCATTTACCTAATCCTGCACAGTTTGCAAATGCTTCCAGGTTTATTATGTTATGTGGTACAGACAGAGCAGCTGTTTCTTTTACCATTACACAAATTATTCTGAATTTAGAGCAGTTTGGTTAGAGACTATACATAACAGAATTAATAAATGTTATGGTTAGACTGAACCCTCTATGTCTCCAGTCTCTCTACCATTCCATACTGCTCTTGGCAGAGGCAGGGCCTTGGGGAGTGCAACACAAGTAGATAAATGAAGGCCAATTCATGCTAGGGGGTCAGTTTGAAGCCTTGAGATAAGCCAATGCTCATTTTTATATGTCAAGATACATACCAAGTTTTCAATATACATTTTTTTAATGCAGGCACTTGAAATAGAATTAGAAGTAGAGCCATGTGTACGCAAACAGCAAATATTAGGTGTTTGAGAAAATATTGAATTTAATTTTGGTAGAAAATAGCAAGTTTCTAAATCCTTTTAAGAGGTTAGAACATGGGAGGACTCAAGATGGCGCTGTGAGAACAACCCAGGATTGGAGCTCTCGTTGAATCCGCAGAGAGGTGAGTCGGAGCTGCATTTCCAGACTGATCTTTGGTGCCCACAGAACGGGGAAATTTTCAAGTATAAAGGAGACGCGGGATGCCAGGCAGTACCTCTGCCTGGGGAAGCCGGCAGCCAGGGTGGCAGCGGCCAGCCCTACCCAGCGCTCCCCACAGGGCGCGCTTGTCCAGGTGCCCTGTTGAACTGGCAACCTGAGACTTGAAGAGGGCTGGACTTGAGACTGAACGAGACATGGACAGTGGGCCAGCCCAGGGGATTGCAGGGACAGAGCGTTTGGGGTAGCCCAGTGGGACGAACAAAACCGCGATTTCAAACGATCCCTGTGCAGACGGTCCGAGACGCTCTGTGGGGGAGGGGCGTCCACTATTACTGAGGCAACACACCCCAACTGAGATACACGCCCACTGCTGACGCAGCCTGCCATTGCCGAAGCAACCCACTACAACAGAGAGACTCCGCCGCAGGGTGTGGCGGAGACCACAGCAGAACAGCAGAGCCTGCAGCAACAGGGCGAATCACACAACAGCAGGGCAGAGCCTCGGCAGGCAAACAGTGGCTAGTCTGCCTCCTAGCTGGGCAGGACACTTCAACGGACATCCAAATATAAAGCCCGAACCCCCCAACCCAGAGCATTTGAGAAAAAAAGGGTTTTTTAAATGAGCTCTGTTGCAGCAGAATCAAACATAGCAGCCTAACAGCCCTGAATGAACAACAGAGCTCACAGCTCAGCAATTGAGCTCCTATAAAGTACAGACTGTCTCCTCAAGCAGCTCCCTGACCCCTCTATATCCAAAAGACTGACATTTGGCAGGCATCATCCTGGGACAAAATAGCAGAAAAAGAAACGGGTAGCATCCCTCACTGTGCCACAGCTGCTAGAGGTGCACCCCAGACAAGCAGGGCCTGGAGTGGACCTCAGCAGTCGTACAGCGAAGGGGCTAGACTGGTAGAAGGAAAACCAAGTAACAGAAATACTTCATCATCAACAATCTGGGCGTCCACTCAGAGACCCAATCGAAAAGTCAGCAACTACGCAGACGACAAGCAGATAAATCCACAAAGATGGGGAGAAACCAGCGAAAAAAGGAGGAAAACACCCGAAACCAGAACACCTCACCTCCTAGAAAGGACCAAAACTCCTCACCAGCAAGGGAACAAAGCTGGATGGAGAATGACTGTGACGAAATGACAGAATTAGACTTCAGAAGGTGGATAATGAGAAACTTTTGTGAGCTAAAAGAACATGTATTAAATCAATGCAAAGAAACTAAGGAACTTGAAAAAACATATGAGGAAATTATAACAAGAATGGATAACTTAGAGAGGAATATGAATGAATTAAAGGAGCTGAAAAATACAATACGAGAACTTCGTGAAGCATGCACAAGTTTCAATAGCCGAATTGACCAAGCAGAAGAAAGAATATCTGAAGTCGAAGACCAACTCAATGAAATAAAATGAGAAACCAAGATTAGAGAAAAAAGCGCAAAAAGGAATGAACAAAGTCTCCAAGAAATGTGGGACTATGTGAAAAGACCTAACCTACGTTTGATAGGTGTACCAGAAGGGGACGAAGAGAATGAATCCAAGCTGGAAAATACTCTTCAGGACATCATCCAGGAAAATTTCCCCCATCTAGCAAGACAGGCCAACACTCAAATGCAGGAAATACAGAGAACACCACAAAGATATTCCACAAGAAGAGCAACCCCAAGGCACAGAATCGTCAGATTCAATATGGTTGAAATAAAGGAGAAAATACTAAGGGCAGCCAGAGAGAAAGGTCGTGTCACCCACAAAGGGAGCCCATCAGGCTCAAAGCAGATCTCTCCGCAGAAACACTACAGACCAGAAGAGAGTGGGGGCCAATATTCAACATTCTTAAAGAAAAGAACTTTCAACCCAGAATTTCATATCCAGCCAAACTGAGCTTCAGAAGTGAAGGAAAAATAAAATCCTTTCTGAACAAGCAAGTACTCAGAGATTTTGTCACCACCAGGCCTGCTTTACAAGAGCTCTTGAAAGAGGCACTACACATAGAAAGGAACAACCAGTACCAGCCATTCCAAAATCACACTAAATGCTAAAGAGCATCAACATAATGAAGAATCTATAACAACTAACAGGCAAAACAGCCACTTAGCATCAAAGTGGCAGTATCAAATTCACACATAACAATATTAACCCTAAATGTAAATGGACTAAATGCACCAATCAAAAGACACAGACTGGCAAATTGGATAAAAGTTCAAAACCCATCAGTGTGCTGTATCCAGGAAACCCATCTCACATGCAAGGATACACAAAGGCTCAAAATAAAGGGATGGAGGAAGATTTACCAAGCAAATGGAGAGCAAAAAAAAGCAGGAGTTGCAATTCTCATCTCTGATAAAATAGACTTTAAAGCAACAAAGATCAAAAGAGACAAAGAAGGCCATTACATAATGGTAAAAGGATTGATACAACAAGAAGAGCTAACGATCCTGAACATATATGGACCCAATGTAGGAGCACCCAGATACATAAGGCAAGTTCTTAATGACTTACAAAGAGACTTAGACTCCCACACAATAATAGTGGGAGACTTTAACGCTCCACTGTCAATATTAGACAGATCAACCAGACAGAATATCAACAAGGATATCCAGGGCTTGAACTCAGACCTGGAGCAAGCAACCCTGATAGACATTTACTGAACTCTCCACCCCAAATCCACAGAATACACATTCTTCTCAGCACCACATCACACCTACTCTAAAATTGACCACATAATTGGAAGTAAAGCACTGTTCAACAAATGCAAAACAACTGAAATCATAACAAACAGCCTCTCAGACCATAGTGCTATCAAGTTAGAACTCAGAATGCAGAAACCAACCCAGAACTGCACAGCTTCATGGAAACTGAACAACTGGCTCTTGAATGTTGACTGGGTAAACAATGAAATGA